AATCCCAAAACTAAACTCATTGCTATCAAGCCAGTACCGACTCTACAGGACAGAGTAGAACTGCCCCTCTGGGTTTCCGAGGCTCCACCTCTTTACAGGAGTAGAGAGCCTTATATTCCCCGAGGAGCAGCTGGTGGTTTTCAACTGCTGACCTTGTGGTTGGCTACCCAGCACATGAGCCACTATGCCACCAGGCTTCTGAGGACAGACGTTCCTGTCCTCGCACCCTGTGCCAGCACCTGGGGACAGGGCAGAGCCCTCAGCGGGTCCCCATGATCCCGAGACCCCCGGGTGGGTGGCGCCAGGGATCAGGCTCCTCTCAGGAGCCTGTGGTGCTGTGAGGGCCCAAGGGCTGCGTGGTGGTCCCCGCAGGTTCATGGGTGGCGGCGGTGAGAGCTGCAGCCTCATCGCTGAGGGACTCAGCACAGCCCTGCAGCTGTTCGACGACTTCAAGAAGATGCGGGAGCAGATGTGAGTGAGCCCAGCGTCCCTGCCCACCCCCGTCCGTCCCCCGTCCCCCTACCCCATGGCCTGTGAGCCCCAGCCCTGGAGTTCAGCCAGGTTCTGTCCCCAGGCTGTGAGCTGGTGGAGGCCTGGCCAGCGTTGGGGCTTCCCCCGGCCAGCTGGCCAACTTAAGGCCAGTGTTACCCTCTCTGAGCTGCAGGCTTTTCTGCTGTAACGTGGGAGCGTGGCTCCACCTCAGACTCTACAGGTGGGGGTCCCAACCCTCACCCTGGTGCTGGGACTGTGGTCCCCGCCCCCACCCCACCCAGCCCTCATCCCCGCATCTCCAAGGCTCTGCTTGTCCCCAGCAGTGGCCAGACACACCGTGTCTGCCTCCTCATCTGTAACTCGCCGCCCTACCTGCTGCCCGCTGTGGAGAGCACCGTGTACTCGGGGTACACCACCGAGAACCTGGTGCAGAAGATTGGCGAGGTGAGGCCCGCCCCCCACGGTTGCAGCAGGGTGTGGCCAGGAATGGGCTCCTGGGTCTGAGGCAGGAGAATGCTTGGGGCCTGTGGGGCGGGAACTGGCTTTGAGGAGCGGGGCCCCATTCCTGGGCATGAAGAGGGTGGGTGCGGACTCGCAGGAGTGCCTCAGTTTTGTGAGGAGTCCTGCTCGAGATCTTCTGGGGCAGCAGCTGCCCTGCCCTAGAGGCCTTCTGGGAGCTACCGTCTTGGGGCTCAGGAGGCTGGTCTTTGCCGCCCTGAGGAGGCCTGTCCTGAAGGCTGCTCCCCACCGCCCTGTCCTGCAGCGGGGCATCTACTTCTCCATCGTGTCTCCCCGGAAGCTGCCCGCCCTGCGGCTGCTGTTCGAGAAGGCAGCCCCCCCGACCCTGCTGGAGCCCCTGCAGCCCCTGACGGACGTGAGCCAGGACCCCCGGCACATGGTGCTGGTGCGGGGGCTGGTGCTGCCAGGTGATGAGACCTCGCCCTGTCTGGGAGCCAGGGGGGCATGCTCTCAGGTGCCCTCTGACCTGTCTCTCCCCTCCTTCTGGCTCTTAGTTGGGGGTGGCTCAGCCCCAGGCCCGCTCCAGCCTAAGCAGCCCGGCCCACTGCCTCCAGCCCCCACCTCTGCCGCTGCGCTCTCGGCAGCCCCCCAGCAGCCTCTGCCGCCTGTACCCCCGCAGTACCAGGTAGGAGGAAGAGCTTCTGGGGGTACCTGGGGGATGCTGAGCTGGTGGGAGTCTCCCTTGGGATCTGGGAGGGTGGGGTTGTGGGCTCTTGACATACAGGCACCAGGTTACTCAGCCTTGGCTTGAGGGGATGCTGCATGGACCTCCCCAACCCACTCTGTCCCCCCAGGTCCCTGGGAACCTGAGTGCAGCGCAGGTGGCGGCCCAGAATGCTGTAGAAGCTGCCAAGAGCCAGAAGGCTGGACTGGGCCCGCGCTGTGAGTCCTGAGGGAGGGGAGGGGGTTGTTGGGGATCGGGGCCCAGCAGGGCTCACTCTTGGCCCGACTACTCATGCCTGCTTCCACTCTCTCTCCTAGTCTCCCCCATCAACCCTCTCCAGCAAGCTGCACCAGGTGTGGGCCCCCCCTTCAGCCAGGCCCAGGCCCCCCAGATGCCCCCGGGGCCCCCTGGTGCTCCCAAGCCACCGCCCGTGTCCCAGCCCAGCTTGGTCTCCAACGTGGCTCCTGGCTCGGGTCTGGCCCCCCCTGCGCAGCCTGGGGCACCATCCATGGTAGGTGAGACCACCCCCACCCCACTCTCTGCACCTTCTGAGAAAGGTTCACAGGGGTGCGGCCCGGCCCTCGAGGGCCACTTGGAGATGAGATCCTGGGTCTGTGGTTCCAAGAGTCCGGATGGGCTGAGGAGCCCAAGGCATGCTGGGACTAGTAGTTCCAGCCTCATGGGCAGTGAGGCAGTGCTCTGGGGATGGGGTGGGGGAGCACTGCTCTGACTCCACCTTTATTGTCCTCTTTCCTCCCCTCTGGCAGGCCAGCTCCGTGGCCCCAGGAGGTGTGAGTGGTCCCTCCCCGGCCCAGCTGGGGGCCCCAGCACTGGGTGGGCAGCAGTCTGTGACCAATAAGCTCTTGGCCTGGAGCGGGGTGCTTGAGTGGCAGGAGGTGAGTAGACTGCAGGAATCACATGGCTGAGGTGGTAGTGAGGGGCCGCTGGGGCAGGGCTTTCAGGGTGGGGGGCCAGGGGAGGGATGAGGAAGCAGCTGGGATGGGGCCAGGCCTGGGCCTCCAGAAGGGTGAAACCTGTGGTCCCAGAAGCCGACATAGTCATGTTTCCCAGTTCGGATCAGGAGGGTGGTAAGAACTGGATTTAAGGTGCAGACCTCAGAGAAGCCCAGGATGAAGGGGTCCAGATTGGGGCTGAGGACGGGCCCAGCACTCGGGCATCTGAAGGCAAGAGGGTTGTAGAACTGAGTGTCTGGGGAGGAACCCTACTCCCTAGCTACAGTCAGACGGTCAGTGGTCTGGACCCCAGGTCACCACGACACCCTGTTGCCCCTCAGAAGCCCAAGCCTGCCTCTGTGGACGCCAACACGAAACTGACCCGCTCCCTGCCCTGCCAGGTCTACGTGAACCACGGAGAGAACCTGTGGGTGACCAGAAGGCCAGGGTGGGATGGGGGGGGTGGGGCCTGGGTGGGCTGCCTGCTGACTCTCTCCCAACCTCACCCCCAGGAAGACGGAGCAGTGGCCACAGAAGCTGATCATGCAGCTCATCCCCCAGCAACTGCTGGTGAGTGGGTGAGGGCACCGCCCACCTGTCCTGGCTCACCTTGCTCTCCTCCCTTCCCTCACCTCCCCCACCCCCATGCACGCACACTGACACAGCGACCGGTGCCTATGTCTCCCCCAGACCACCCTGGGCCCTTTGTTCCGCAACTCGAGGATGGTCCAGTTCCACTTCACCAACAAGGACCTGGAGTCCCTCAAAGGCCTCTACCGAATCATGGGCAACGGCTTTGTAAGTCTGGGGCCGGGGCAGGGCTGGCGACTCTGTCCACCTCAGTCTGTGCCCGGCCCCTCCTCCCCTTTCTTCTCTGCCATGGCCCCCTTTTTCTTTGTGTGGGGATTGGGTGAAGCTTTCCAGAGCAGACCAGAGTCCCCTTAAAAAACTCCTGCAGGTAGCCTTCATCTCACCGATTGCCATCCCCACTGGGACCTTCACCCATCCCACCTCCTCTCCGGGCTTCTGGTTGCGATCCCTCCCCCTCCCCCAGGTCTGCGGACCTCCCCCCAGTTTGACTATTCCCCTCATAGACCTATCTAAGGCGCCGGTGGCATGGTGAGCTGCACATGTTGAGCTGCTGCCCACAGGGTCAGCAGTTCAAACCCACCAGCCATCTGAAGGGGAAGATGAGGCCATGCCGAGAGAAGGCTCAGATTTCCCTGTCCCAGAGGGTCCCTGTGAGTTGGACTCACTCCGTGGCTGTGGTTTGGCTGAAAATAGAGCCCATGGAGCATGGAGTTCCGCTCCAGCTCTGAAGGGTGACCAAGGCTGTAGGCCCTGGGGTTCCCCAGCCCGAGTCTCTCACTGACCCATATGCCGGCGCTTTGTTACCTGACTGTGGGTTTTGTTCCACACGTTTCTCCCACATGTAACAGGGTCCTTTTCCGAGCAGTGGGCTGGTAGCCGTAGCCGGGCACCATCCAGGTCATCTGGTCCCAGATGTGCAGATGGCCCATTCAGAGGCCCTGGGTCAGCACACCTGCCTTATTGTTTCCACCCTGTCGCTGCCGCTGTCCCCGCTCTTCTTGCAGGGAGGGAGAGACCACTAGTTAGACCTTAGGGGCTGCTACCAAGGGTGGGCTGTGCTGGGCCACTTGACCTTGGTGTCACTGCAGACTGGCCTAAGCCCCCAGGCCTGGGGACGGACTCGTTCTCTGGAGGCCTCTGGTTACAGCTAAGAAGTGGACCTAACCCTGTCCCCCACTGTGCTTACACCCCCGCCCCCATGCATGGCTGTGTTTGCAGCAGAGGAAGATGCCCTGGAACCACAACCTCTGCCAAACCTGTATGTGCCCAGCGGTGTCCCCCTGCCCGCCCAGCCTCCGGGTGTCTTCACGCTCTGCTGAGGCTCGCTGTCCCTGCCCGGCTGCCTCTCACTTTTCTCCGCCTCCCTGCCTCTCCCCCTGCCTCCATCGAGCTTGCCAGACTGCCCTCTGTCGGTCGGTCTGTCTTCACCGGGGTTAAGGCGTAGCTATCCTCTAGCCAATCATTTCCCTTGCCTTCTTGACCACCCCACCCCGTAGCCATCAGAGTGCTGCTTGTCATGTGAAAGTAGGGCCCTAACTTTGACAGCAATGAGACTCCTTGCCAGAGCAGGGGACAGTCCACAGGGCAGACGGGGCCCAGCAGCCCTTGGCGGACACTGGGTTCTGCTGGGGTTCACGGGAAAGGCCCAGCTCTGAGCACTTCCCGGCCGGCCGGGCCCTTTCCAGAAGAGACCCTCCTGAGCCCTACAAGAAAGTGTCGGTGGGGGGTTGTAAGGCTTCCCCCTGTCTGCCCCCACGCACCCAGGCATACAGCCCTAGGAGCCTCGGCTGCCCCCCACCCCTCCACCACACACACGCACACACACACACAGTCTCCCTTGGGTTTCACTGGGGACTGGGGCCCATATCTGAACTCCTCACTCAGTCTGTGAACCCTGCACAGACCTTTGAGGGTGGAGGACCCATAAGGAGGAGGCGGTGGCCCAGGTTTGGGGGCTGCTGAGTCAAAGAGCTAGGGTTCAGTTCGGCACCCTTTCTCTCTCTGCTCTCCCTCCGGGCAGTGGACAGAATCCCAGCTCTGCCCAGTCCCTCTGAGCACCCGGCTGCCCTTAAGCCCCTTAGCTCCATTCTCCTGGTGGTGAAGTTCAGTGCCTGGGGGGAACTGGCACGCTTCAAACCCGCGTGGTTTGTTAGAGTCCAGACATAAGCCGAGCCTCTTCTCTCTCTCTCTCCCCCTCCCTCTCTGTCTGCCTGCCTCTCTCTCTCACAGTCACAGCAGCAACGAAGCGTTAAGCCACCGTTTTATTGAAGCCTAGCGCCCCTTGAAAAGAAAGGAAGGGGGGCCCCCCTCCAGAATTGAGGAGGGACACTGTTCAGGGAACACTTGTAGTTTGTCAAGTGTACTTTCCAGGGGAAGGGGGGGGGCTGCCGCTCTGCAGGGGTCAAGCAGCTTTGTAATCGCTTGTGCGCAGTCCGTCCCATCCACTGTTTCTCTCCTCCCGTGTCCTCTGTCTGGGACTTCCCTCCGAGACCGGTCCTGAGTCAGCTTCTCACCCAGGCCCGGCTTCCATGTTGGACTTCTCAGGGAGTCTTTTGTTCATGACTTTGTTCATTCCCTTATCAGGCAGGGCAGAGGCTCCTCCTTCACCCCCGTTCCGTGCCTGTCACTCCACGTTTTAGAATGGAACCCCCACCCCACCCTTGGTCCCTGGGACTTCTAGAACCTTCTTCTAAAACAGGGAGCGGGGTGGGTGGCTGGCTGACATGCCCCTCCCCTGCAGGCCGGCTGCGTGCACTTCCCCCACACAGCCCCCTGCGAGGTGCGCGTGCTGATGCTGCTCTACTCATCCAAGAAGAAGATCTTCATGGGCCTCATCCCCTACGACCAGAGCGGCTTCGTCAATGGCATCCGGCAGGTCATCACCAACCACAAGCAGGTCCAGCAGCAGAAGCTGGAGCAGCAGCAGCGTGGGGTGAGCGAGCCAGCGCCCCGCCGGCTGAGCGGAGCCCAGAGCTTAGGCTCAGAACCTCCCGGGGCTCCTCCAGGCTCTGCCCCTTCCCCTCCTCTGCGCTCCCGCCTGCAGCCCGTCCCCTGTGGGAGGCTGGTCATCTGAGGGCGTCAGTCATCTGCTGTGTTCTGCCCTCTTGCCCTCGTGTGGGCCCCCAGCACTCCCCCCACCCCAGCATTATTTATTTTTAAATTTTTATTCTTATTTTAATCATTTTATTGGGGGCTTATATAGCTCTTAGCACAATCCATCCATCCATCCATGCATCGTTTCAAGCACTTTTGTTGCCATCATAATTTTCAAAACATTTTCTTTCTACTGGACCCCTTGGTATCAGCTCCTCATTTCTGCGCCACTTCCCTCCCCCATGAGCCCTCCCACCCCCACCCCCAGCCTTAAACCTTCCCCTGTCAGCTCCAGAGTCCTCTAGTCCCTGACCTGCTCTCTTCCTCTGGCACAGATGGGGGGACAGCAGGCCCCCACAGGGCTGGGCCCCATGCTGGAGGAGCAGGCAAGGCCTGGGCAGAATCTGGTGAGACCAGGACGGGTGCGGGGGTGGGAGGATGGTCTCAGGGAGGGTGGTCTCAAGGCCAAGACATGCGAGACACTGTCCCCTCCCCTCACCCCTCTCTTCCCTTCAGCTCCAGCTCCGCCCACCTCAGCCCCAGCCGCAGGGTGCCGTGGGGGCCTCTGGGCCAACAGGGCAGCCCCAGCCCCAAGGTGCTGCCCAAGGTCCCACAGGGGCCCCCCAAGGCCCTCCAGGAGGAGCCCCTGGCCCACCCCCACCGGGCCCAATTCTTCGTGCCCAGAACCCTGGGGCCAACCCCCAGCTGCGGAGCCTCCTCCTGAACCCTCCACCGGTGAGCTCTGGGGGGTGGGCAGGTAAAACCCCCAGGTGGCCCTTTCAGCTGGAAGGTGGGCTTGGGTGTGCAGCCCCTTGGGCTCATATCACAGTACATCTGAGGAGGGGGCCTTCCAAACCAGGTGGCGACCTTGGACTGGGTGGTGGCAGGTGGCCTTCCCCAGGGCCACTGAGTGCTCTATGTTCTTTCAGCCCCAGAGTGGGGTGCCCCCACCCCAGGCCTCTCTGCATCACCTGCAGCCACCAGGGGCTCCCACCCTGCTGCCCCCCCCACACCAGGGCCTGGGACAGCCCCAGCTGGGACCCCCACTTCTGCACCCACCTCCCACCCAGTCCTGGCCCACGCAGCTACCCCCAAGAGCTTCCCTGCCAGGTAAGAGGGCTCTGGGCTGCGGGTGGCATGGGTGGGAGTACCAAGCCCCAAGGGATCCTGGGAGGGGAAGTCTGGCCTGAGACAAGGGGTCCCCGTGGCCAATTTTGGGGGGCTCTGAGAGCCCAGGGGACTAAAACCCTAAAGGGGCAAGAGCGTTTACCATGACGCCCCCCAAGTGTGCCCCCGTGGGAGAGGAGCCCCAAGGCTCCTGGGCACCAGGGAGTGTGGCCAGTTGGAGTCAGCAGGTGCCCCCAAAGCATCCCAGGCTCCAGAGGAGGGAGGTGAGCATGCTGGGAGATGCAGTCCCTTCCCCACTGCCCCCCAGGTCAGATGCTGCTCAGCGGGGGTCCCCGGGGCCCGGTCCCCCAGGCGGGCCTGCAGCCCAGCGTCATGGAGGACGACATCCTCATGGACCTCATCTGAACCCCCGACACCCAATAAAGTTCCTTTTAACACACGCCCCGACTCCCGTCACTGACGTCCCCTAGGACTGGGCAGGAGGAGACAAGGGGGGAGACACATGCACCCCTGCCCTGGTCAGCCGGGTCAGGCAGGCTGGTGCAGGGCAGGGGGCAGGCAGGGAGGACTCGGAGTGCCCCAGGTGCTCTCGGAGGGGCGAGTGGAGCCAGGAGAGGCACACCACCCTGCCGGGGCGCTGGTCTGGGCAGACTCCCTGGAGGAAGCGGACACCACTTAGCCAGCCCGGAAAGAGAAGTAGGAGGCATCAGGCCAGAGGCAGCTGGTGAGTCAGGTAGTGAGCCCAGCCCCACAAGTGTGGGTGTCAGGAGTACAGGTGTTGGACAGGGTGGGTGTCGGAAGTGTGGCCCTGTATGGCTGGAGTGGGGGTGGTGGGGGGGGGGAGGCATTGAAGGGGCTGCAGCTTTCTTTTGAGTAGCTTGTCCTGGGGAGACTAAGTAGGGGAAGGGTCAAAGTCACCTCTGGGTGTCAGCCCAGCAGGAGGCCTGGAGGGGCTAGGGCAGAGGTCCTAAGGGAAGGATGAAGCC